ATGAAAAAGGAAAAAGGGGCAAAAGATTCTCGAACCAGCTATGCCACGTGATTTTCATTCAGATTTTCACTATTTATTTATTTATTGAGGGGTTCAGATTTCCGCTAAAAAAAATTGAGACATCAGATTTCCGCTTTTTTTTTAGGAACAGATTTCCGCTAAATATTTTTTTGAGGTGGAGATTTCCGCTAAATGAACCAACGCGCACGCACCTGGGACTTAGCAAGTCCAGGCCCGTTTCTCCAAAAAAAACAGAGAAAGTCCAGGCCCAGGAGCGTGCGCATGGTGTGGCCTAGCGAATTGGGCCGCAGCTGATTTTAATAGCGTTGTGTTGCTACTTGCTACTTGCAATTTACTCACAAAAAATATCTATTTGTACGAATTCTCAAAAAGAAAGGTTGCTACTTGTACATCACACTTAAAAAAGAAGTTTACGTGTATGTTCACTTGAAATCCAACATTTTATCAAATTAAGAACCTATTTATAAAAATATTTGTATTTTACTAATTTTATATAACTACGCCAAAAAATGAAGTAGTGCATGTTTTGTCCATGTAAGTGAAAAATCGTTCTTGTAATTTTTAAGAGTGTTCGCATTTCTTGGAAAAACATGGCTTTAAAAAAACTCTTCGTGTATTTAAAAAATGTTCATCGTGCAATTAAAAGAATTTTTATCATGTGTTTTATAAATTTTCCTTTTCTATTTTAGAAATTATCATGTTTTAAGCAATTTTTCATCATATGTTCAACATGTATTACCAAAAAGTCATAGTGTATTTTAAAAATATTTATTGTGTATTGAAAATGTGTGTTTTTTAAAAAAATGTTCGCATATTCCAAAGGAAAATATGTATTTGAGAAAAAAAAAGTCCACCATGTATTTTAAACGTGTTTGTTGTGTATTTTAAAATGTTCATCAAGTATTTCAAAATGTTTAATATATATTTAAAATGTTTATTGTCCTTTAGAAATGTCATCGCATATTTAAAAAAGTTATTGCGCAGTTAGGAAAAAGTTCATCCTATATTTAAAAGTTTTCATATAAAAAATACTATAATTAAATAAGAAAACATGAAAAACCTGAGAGGCTATCTGCTAGAGTTGCTCTAAGAGTGAGGATTTACACGGCTCCAAAGCTCCATTTAAAAAAAATCCAAAACATAGGTACTTAATACTCCCTCCGTTCCAAATTACTCGTCGTGGTTTTAGTTTAAATGAAAACTAAAACCACGACGAGTAATTTGGAGCGGAAGGAGTACATGTTACTCCATCTCTACCGAAATACTTGTAGTTGGGGGAAACTAGTACAAGTTCCCCCAACTACAAATATTTCGGTACAGAGAGAGTAGAATTCACCAAAAAACTGAATGTTGCTTGTACCAAAAATAACAGTCTAACATTGTTATTTAAAATACCAAGCAGTGAATAATCGTGTTTTTCTCTCGTTTTGCCACTAACAAAAAGGAAAATCAAGATGTTTGTCCACAAAAAAAATGGAGAATATCGTTTAAACTTATGGGTGCATTTGCTTTAAAAAAATGGAATAAAGTGCCGACTACGGCTCAGATGCCATCTTCTTTTCACTATATAGTTCCTCAGTACCGATAAAACATCCCAAACTATATGAATGCACGCATGATGATGAGAGCGCTTCTTAGATAGATAAATTTCCATGTGTCACCAAAAGTTTAATTGTCAACTGGACTTGGTGAAGATCCTACAGAAGCAACCCACCGTGGAGAATTACTAATAACTACACCAAACCAAGATGATTTGACGGTCTGAATTTTATCTAATTGAGTGGGCGGGTGTTCTTCCTAGCCCCGGCGATGCCTCATGGGCGGGGCTTTTGCTTTGAGGAGCCGGATGAGTGCGTCCGATCGCCCAGCAGCCATCGCCGACTGCTCACCCGACGATGCCTTGGCGCCTCCTCCGTCCTGCAGTAACAGCCATTGCACCAGTCAGTTAGGTTAGAATCAATCGGTCCAAAACCAAACGCTTCCCGCAGACAAGGGGGAGCGTGCACGCGTGCGTGCGTGCATACCAAACCAATGGCAGGGCCGGTGAACTCCTTGAGCATCATGGCCGACACAGGCAGCAGCCTCCTCCTGCTTCACCAAACCAAACCACAGGTTATTTGTGCCAACTATATTATGGATATTAATTACTTGTCAAGCTGGTTTTTGCATTTAGGTGACGCCTTCCATAAGTACGCTCGCTCACCTTGACGTCTTCTTCATGTTTTCGCGAGGCTTCGAAGCGCAAAGGTCCTCATTTGCTTCTTCCTGGCAAAGGTTCTCCTTCTGGTCATCCGCGGTTCCTTCTGCCCGGCAGTCCTTGGTTGGAGCCTTGGCATAAGCAAGACAACCAAATCAGGAAATGCAACTGTAGAGACAAAATACGTGTGGTATGACAGCATTATTATAAATGACCCTGGTAGAATCTGTCAGCTGCATCTACGATTTCGCGCTGCATCACAGTATTTGGTAGTATTAACCAAGCAAACATAAGTCAAGACAAGCAGCGAAAGAGCTTACTATTGAAGCCTTCGTCTGGGGAAGCCCTTCATCTGGTACATGTCGGCCATGTGCTGCAGAAATGCACCAATGTTGATTAGGTGACTCAACTCATCATTTAATGCAAGCGACGTGAATATACCAAAAATTAGTGACCAAAGATTATGATGCACGACACTTGACGCCTACCGTGTTCTGCAGCAGCCTCCTTTACCATGGGCTCGCAAATTTCTGGCTCAGGCACCAGTTCATCAGGATTCTGGTGAGCAGCACCCTAGAAGAGAAGAAGGAAAAGTTCAACCGATACGTCATAGTTTCCAGTAGGGTAACTTGTATATTAAAAATAGAGAGAAGTGCATATATCAACCGAAAATTAGTTTCTCAGCCCGAGCTCAGATGGTCCTGTTATCAAGTGCATCCATTCATCTCGAGATCTGTGTTGTATCTCGTATTTTATCATGTATACCGGGGTGAAATCTAACCTGGGCCCGCGCTTTAAATACTGACTGGTAATGTTGCAGTCGTTCCGGTCCAGAACAGCGCGAGACGGCCCCTCGTTTTTTCTGGGCCTTACTGGACCGGCTCTCCAGTCCGACTCATCTTCTCTGACCACGCAGCAAGCAACAGGAGCTGCTCCCGGTCACCACCATGATTCCATCGCTCGCAAAGGGAAGCAACCAGGATCCAGAGTCTACTAGTGCGTTCACTACAGATTAAGTACTCTCCCCTCACGCAGTCATTTAGTTTAATCGTTTTATGCGTTGGCACTCACATCTTGCCTCCTCCCTTTTCTCTAGGCCGGCCTGTTGGATTTCTTCAGAGTTCCAGGATAAGTACTCTGCTAACTCGCAGCAGCCACAAGCTTTTTTTGCCTTCTACCACCCATGCCATGATAATGCTTTTGCCCTGCTCATTCGGACGCAACTCGAAACGGGAAACCAAAGTTGAAACTATTTAGAGTACATGGTACTAATCATACAACGCCTATGTGTATCCATGGCATGAAGAATTTTGAGCGACCTATGTGTATTTCCAGGCTACCCTGTGGAACAAGATGGTTTAAGAACATCGGATTCTAGGATTGTATCCGAAAATGCAGGAACTATTTTTTTCCGGGAAAGTATATATGTAGAAATTATGGCTTGGATATTACTGTGTTTCAGGGTTGATGAGAAGCTGAAGAATGAACCGTTGGTCTGTCTGTTGCGGTTAAAATCCTGGTAATCGTCGTGTCAGATGTAGCTTTGTTTGGTAAACTTCTAAACTCCTGAAAAGAGCAGATTGTGTTCCACCTGTTTGCCACGTTTATCTGATGAGTGATGAGACACCTGAGAATCATACTCATGCAGCCGTGCAAGTACATCACGCGTGCGCATGAACCGAATCACCAGGCTACCAAGCGAGCAGATATTTGGGTGAGGCGTAGTCATGTTTGTTTACGGCTACTTCTCCCATGCACGATCAATTAACAAAATGTGCATCTTGGTGCTACTTCCAAATGATGTACCTCTCGAGTTGTTGTCCTGTTCCAAATGACGTGCCTCTCGCAGTAATCCTAACGTCCTACAACTACTCCGTGCCACGGCTCATCTCCACATAAAGCGGCTTGAGCCACGGGACAGATACACGCCCTGACGGAGCCGCCCACCAAATTTCAAACGTCCACCGCGCAGCGGTCTGGGGATCGCACCGTACAGCACTGTGCCATACCGTATTTCCCGCTCGCGAGCCATTTTCTAGCGCCCACACCACAACAGTCAAACCACCATTCACGGATCCACATAGCGCAGCCAACGCCGAGGATAACGGGAGCAGCTGGGCTCGGGCGCTGAAACGCCGTGTCCATATATCAACCCTCAACTCTTTGGTGGGTCTAATATACACCCCTCATCTATTATACCGTCTAAGTTGCACCCTCTAACTGTCAAAACCAGACAAATTACGTAACGCCCCGGATGTAACTTTCCATATTTGTATCCAACTCTTGCCGTCTCCGGCGCCAAGTTATATTTATTTCTCGGGTTGGGTCTTTGTCTTCGTGTGTGTTGTTTTCGTTTTCATGCATCTCATATCAGGTCATCACGTGCATTGCATGTGCATACATGTTCATCTCATGCATTCGAGCATTTTCCCCGTTGTCCGTTTTGCATTCCGGCGCTTCGTTCTCCTCCGGTGGTCATTTCTAGATTTCTTTCGTGTGTGGGGTTTAAACATTTCCGGATTGGAACGAGTCTTGCCAAGCGGCCTTGGTTTACTACCGGTAGACCGCCTGTCAAGTTTCGGGTCATTTGGACTTCGTTTGATACTCCAACGGTTAACCGAGGGACCGAAAAGGCCTCGTGTGTGTTGCAGCCCAACACCCCCCAAATTTGGCCCAAAACCCACCAAACTCTTCTCCATGTCCTAGAGCGTTCGATCACGATCGTGTGGGCGAAAACCGCACCTCGTTTGGACTCTCCTAGCTCCCTCTATGCCTATATATACACCCCCTCCGTTTTCGGATCTCTCCCTCTCCCCGAAACCCTAAAAAAAAAACAGATCCCCTTCCTCCGCGCCGACGGACGTGTCCGCCCCGGCCGGACAACGTCCGCCGCCGCCCGCCTCAGCCAGCCGGG